TGTAGTAATTAGAGTGTGGTGTTAGAGAATTGAAATCTAAATGGAGCCTTGAAGGTAGGTAACAACCCTAGGGGTAGACTGAAGCTGGAGCTGGCACTAAAGGTCTCTTCCTGTGCCAGGCTTAACCACTTCAGTTTTAGAGGCTGGGAGGTTAAGGGATTTGTGGCCTGAGGGGTCCAAGTGTTTGAGTTGAGGATAGTAAGGAGGCTTAGAGTGGTAACTGTTTTACTAACAGTAATGGAAATATTGCACTATGATTTGGTATTTTAATAACAGATACAAAGCCATACAGTTGTGTACTGGTTGCAATTAGCCATACAACTTGATATATAACAGAAGTGAATTTTGGGAAAGGATGGACTATTCAATAACAGATGCTGGAAAATTATGCATATGGAAAATACATATACATACATATGGTTATACATATGGAAAAAAGTGAAATAGGATCCTTATACCATACATAGAAATAAATTTTTAGATGGATGAGAGTAAATTAAAAGTGAAAGGTAATACTTTCAGAGTTTCTGAATAAAATTGCAGCAGACATGTTGGCAGTCTGTTCTGGTCTAAATGTCTCCCAAAATTAATATGTTGAAACTTAATTGCCAATGTGATAGCATTAAGAGGTAGGGTCTTAGCAGGTAATTAAGTCATGAGGACTCATGAATGGGATTAGTGATTTTATAAAAGGGCTGGAGGGAACTAGCTAGGCCTCTTTTGTCCTTCTGCTATTATGCCATGTGAGGACACAGCAACAAGTGCTATCTTGAAAGCAGAGAGCAGCCCTCACCAGGCACGGAATCTGCCGCACCTGGATCTTAGACTTCCCAGCCTCCCAGAACTGTGAGAAATAAATCTCTGTTGTTTATAAGTTATCTATTATATGGTATTTTGTTATAGCAGCAGGAATGAGCTAATACATGGTCCAACAAAGACGTGTGCACCTCTTCCAGAGATTGGAACTATTGTTGGGGAAAGGTTGCCTAATTAGGGATGACATTTCTCAGCCACGTTTGCACCTGAATAAGTCCATGTGACTGAATTCTGGCCAATAGAATGTGGATTGAAATGGTGTATAACAGTGCTTCTCAAATTATCTGTTGTAATGAACCATTTCCCCCCAATCTATCATGGACCAGTACTTTTATAAACTTTAATAAAATTAAATTATTTTTAAAAATCTAAAAAGTCATATCAAATTATTCCATCAAATTTCTATATAAAGTTAATAAGCATTTGTATTAGTCTGTTTTCACACTGCTGTAAAGAAATACACCTGACACTGGGTAATTTATAAAGGAAAGAGGTTTAATTGACTCACAGTTCCACATAGCTAAGGAGCCTCAAGAAGCTTACAATCATGGCAGAAGAGTCGTTCATCTTACATGGTGGCAGGGGAGAGAGAGTATGTGTAGGAGAAACTGCTAAACACGAATAAAACCATCACATCTCATGAGAACTACTATCATGAGAACAGCATGGGAGAAACCTCCTCCATGATTCCATCACCTCCCTCCCTCAAACCATGGAGATTACAGGTCCGTCCCTCCACATGTGGGGATTACAATTCGAGATGAGATTTGGGTGTGGACACAGAGCCAAACCATCTCAGCACTTATTCTTAATTTCTGTACTATTGTGAGATGGAGAAGTAATAAAAAGTTTGCAGACCAGTAGTTGTCAGTGAACCACACTTTGAGTGCAGACCATTTCCAGGCCTGGCCCATAAAAATCTCTCATGCAATCTTCCACATTCTCGTTCTTGTCCAGTCCACAGGCTCGATGTCTTCACTAAAACATTCCAGCCAAGTCACTCAAGGTGCTCAAGGTGACCTTGAAAGTCAATCACTGAAGATGGCAGAGTTTTCATCAGCTTTGGTCAGCAGGTAACTGCTTGAAGTAGAACCCTCCTCACCCCATCCTGTCATTAATTGAACTTAATGTAAAAGAAAAACAAGCTTAGTTTGTGTTAAGTCGTTCAGCATTCAAGATTTATTAGTTATACTAATAATGAAATATAGGGAAAACACTTATAACTTTAAGATACAAGAGCCCTTATTAGAAAAGATTTTGAAATTTGACTATATTAAAAAAAAAAGAATTTCTATACATAAAAAAATCACCATAAAGATAGTAAATAAAAACAACCTAGGAAATAAACAACACATAGTACAAACACCAGTTTAGTATTCAGACTATATAAGGTGCTTCTACAAATCAATATGAAAAAGTCAAAGGCCACAATTGAAAAATAGACAAAATATATAAACAAGCATGTCACAGTAGAGGAAATATGAATAGAAAATCAGAATTTGAAAAGATACACAACCACATTAGTATCAGAGAAATGTGTATTAAGACCACAATTAGAAGCCAAATTTGTGAGATGATACGGCTCAAGTAGGAAATCTCATGCACTGCTAGGGAAGTGTAAATCAGTCCTATTCTTTTTTTTTTTTTTTTAAGACAGGGTCTCATTCGGTCACCCAGGCTGGAGTGCAGTGATGCGATCTTGGCTCACTGCAACCTCTACCTCCCAGGTTGAAACGATTCTCATACCTCTGCCTCTCAAGTAGCTGGGACCACAGGCGCATGCCACCATGCCTGGCTAATTTTTGTATTTTTAGTAGAGACGGGGTTTCATCATGTTGGTCAGGCTGTTCTTGAACTTCTGACCTCAAGTGATCTGCCTGCCTTGGCCTCCCAAAGTGCTGGGATTACAGGTGTGAGCCACCACACCTGGCCAAGTCAAGCTATTCTAAAAAACAATTTAAAATTATAAAGTTGAACACTTGCACCTCTTATTATTTAACAGTGATGATAATGGTAGGTATATATTCTAATTCTAGGTGTATATACTCTAGATTCCTGCAATGTACAAGTAGAGTTGCCATATTTAGCAAACAAAAATATAATATGCCCAGTTAAATTATATTTTAGATTTAGATAAACAATGAATAATTTTTTTAGTTGATCTGAAAGTCAAATTTAATTGGGCCTCTTGTATTTTATCTGACAACCCTATAAAGGTGACATATACAAGTGATCAAAGTAGCATTGTTTATGATAGCAAAATCTGGAATATACTTAAATTTCCATTGAGGAAATAATGAATAAGCAGTATATTTTTGCACAATAGAATATTAGCACTGAAAAATGAACTACAATTATGAGTAATAATATGAGTCAATCTTGGAAACAAGTTTTAAAAGCAATTCAAATAACACATATTATAAATTGCAATACCATTTTCATAAAACACAAAACCAACCACAACTAAAAAATATACCATTTAAACATACATACATATGTGATAAAATATATAAATGAGAAAGAGAAACAAAATTCAAAGTAGTTATTTATTTTATTTTTTGAGATTCGGTGTCATTCCGTAGCCCAGGATGGAGTGCAGTGGCATGATCGTGGCTCACTGCAACCTCTGCCTCCTCTAACCACCACTTCCCAGGCTCAGGTGATCCTCCCACCTCAGCCTCCCGAGTAGCTGGGACTGCAGCTGTGCACCACCATGCCCGGCTAATTTTCACCATGTTTCCCAGGCTGGTCTCCAACTCTTGGGCTCAAGCGATCCTCTTGCCTTTGTCTCCCAAAGTGTTGGGATTTCAGGCGTGAGCCACCGCACCCAACCAGTAGTTGTGATTAAAGTAGGGTACAGGCAAAGGAATAGGTCAGAGGAGGAAATCGCAGATTGATGTGAAGGTGTTGGTAATGTTCTGGTTCCTACACAGGTGAAAGGTGCACAGGTGTTTAACTGCTATGCTTTTTATCTCACACATCACATACATTTTTCTGTGACATAAAATATCACATAACATTTAAAAAACAGGTCAAGAGGGCAGGGTGTAGTGGCTCACGCCTGTAACCCCAACACTTTGGAAGGCCAAGGGGAGTGGATCACCTGAGGTTAGCAGTTCCGAGACCAGCCTGGCCAACATGGTGAAAACCCGTCTCTACTAAAAATACAAAAAAAAAATTCGGGTGGAGTGGTGCATGCCTGTAATCCCAGCTAGTCGGGAGGCTGAGGCAAAAGAATCGCTTGAACCCGGAAGGCAGAGGTTGCAGTGAGCCGAGACCGCACCATTGCACTCCAGCCTGGCAACAAGAGCGAAACTCCGTCTTAAAACAAAAAACAAACAAATCCAAAAAACAAACAAAAAAACAGGTCAAGGATCAGAAAGTAAAGTGAATTGATACTCCATTTACAGACAGAAAGCCCAATGTTTTTCTATAATATCAGGATACCTCTCCTGAAGAATGATAGCATACCTTTCAATCAGAGAAATGGTCTAAAATTCAAAATGTTACTCCTAGAGGAAGGAAGCTAGGTGGCAACGTGTACACAAAAAGGCAATTCATCCAAATAATAATATAAGAAGTAGGTATTTTCTAAGTACTATGTAGCACAGGGGTGAATGCGTGGCGGGGTGGGAGGGCGGCTGTTTACAAGAGGGTATGAAATACAGCTCTTCTTTTCAAGAGTGGTTGCAGAATACCAGGGTTTACAAAGAGAGGGTCACACATTAAGCATCGTATTATGTGGGTACAGAGTATTAGGGTTCTCGATGACCAGAAGGAGAATGAGTTCAGTTTGTTTCCTAGCAAGCCTTCTTTAGCTTCTTTTCCCACGTGGGGGTGGGTGGGGTTGGGACTGTTCTTTCCTAGCTCAAAAGTTCACTTATGTCACACTAGGGTCACTTTAAAGGAGAGTGCTAGTAAGGGTAAAGTCAAGTTACATAACCTAGCGGAAAATGAAGACCTAAAACCGCTCGTGAGCAAACACAACACTTGAGACGTAAACCTCTTCAACTAAACCTCTTCAATAGAAGGGTGGATCTTAGCACTCTGGGTGAAAGCAATCTCAGCCAGCAAAACAGCAGAACGCTTTCACGCACGCGCATTAAGCAGACGACCGGTAGCAAGAGCCCGGATAAAGGCGGAGCTAAAAGTGCCGGATAATACGACACGGAGCGCGTGTGCGCACGCCGTAGGGGGCGGGCCGTTCGGGGTTGGTTTCCTGGGCGACCACCGCTGGTTAGTCGGTTAGAGGTGTGCGGGCTTCGGGGGCCATGGGGACTCCTCCCGGCCTGCAGACGGACTGCGAGGCGCTGCTCAGTCGCTTCCAGGAGACGGACAGTGTACGCTTCGAGGCCTTCACGGAGCTCTGGAGAAACATGAAGTTCGGTACTATCTTCTGGTGGGTGTTTCTTGTCCACCACCTGCCTCTCCCTGGCCGCAGGTGGTGTAGAAAGTTGCCTCCTTCCCGGCGCTATTGCACTTGGGAAGTGCTGAGAAGAGCGGCAGTCACCGAAGGTTGCCTCCATCACTCCTGGACCTTCCCCTTTGCGCAGGCAACGCACTTTCCCTGCTGTTTCATTGTGCCCTGATGGTTGTTGCGATCTCTTCCCAAATATGCGTCTCTGCTTCGCCTCCTTTCTAAACTCCTCTCTCCATCTCCACTGCCTCCACCCTGACCCAGGCCACTATCATTTGCCCTTCCCCAGTCTTGTTCTACAGTCTTGTTCTAGGACCTCATGTTTAAAAACACACAAGCAAAGACAAAACCCTTCGAGATTGAATTAATCTTTCCTACACCACCAAAGTTGGGTTTTTTTTGTTTGTGTTTTTTTTTTTTTGAGACACAGTCTCCCTTTGTCGCCCAGGCTGGAGCGCAATGGCGCGGTCTCGGCTCAGTGCAACCCTCCGCCTTTCGGGTTCGAGTGATTCTCCTGCCTCAGCCTCCCGAGTAGCCGGGATTACAGGTGCCCGGCACCACGCCCGGCTAATTTTTTGTATTTTTAGTAGAGACGGGTTTCACTATGTTGGCCAGGCTGGTCTCGAACTCCTGACCTCGTGATCCGCCCTCCTCGGCCTCCCAAAGCGCTAGGATTACAGGAGTGAGCCACCGCGCCCGGCCCAAAGTTGTTTTTCAAACGTGCAAATTTGATCATGTCACTCTCCGGCTCATTCTGTAGTGGTACCCATTGCCTTTGGGATAACGCTTGAATTCTCTGACTTGCCAAGACCATTTCTCACTGGCCTTTGCCCATCTCTCCAGCTTCGCCTGCCAGTCCCCTCCATGCACTCACTTTCTTGCTCCAGCAGCTGCTTTTTTTTTTTTTTTTTTTGGCCCTCCACAGGCTTTTCGTAAGCCTGGAGCTTTCCACCGCAACTCTTGTTTTTTCCACCTTATTCTTTACTCAGGATTAAGCTCAAATGACTTCCTCGGGGAAGTCTTTTTCGCTCTTCTAGACTGAGTACGCTGTTCATGTCCCCCCCACCCCCAGCACCCTGTTTTTATTTTATCTCACCGCTTGCCACGTTTTGTTGTAATGGTATAGTTGAAAACGCAGTGTGGGATTGTTAAGGGCATAGGTTATGGATCCCAATTGGCTGCATTTGATTGCAGGGTCCACTGTGACTTGGAGCAAGTTACTTGAGTTTCCATATCTGTAAAATAGAGGCAATGATAAACCTCAGAAGCTGTGAAGATCAAATGAGCTGATATATCAGAAATGCATTCTAAGTCCTCAATAAATGTTCATTATTATTATTTTTTTTTCTTGAGACATAGTCTCGCTCTGTCATTCAGGCTGGAGTGTAGTGGTGCGATCTTGTATCACTGCAACCTCCACCTCCCGGATTCAAGACGTTCTCCTGCCTCAGCCTCCCGAGTAGCTGGGACTACAGCTCGTGCCACCATGCCTGGCTAATTTTTGTATTTTTAGTAGAGACGGGATTTCACCATGTTGGCCAGGCTGGTCAAATGTTCATTATTACTACCGTTTTAAAATTTTCGTTTGACTAGACTGACCTCTGTGAGGACAGTGGCTGGATGAATCTATTTTTATTAGCATAGTACATATAATATTGAAAAGGCTAAATAACTGATTTTCGGAATGAGTTAAACCTTATGATTAAAACTATGTTTTTCTGAACAAAATGTTAAAACTCATTTTCTCTTTGTCAGTGTAAACAAATTACCTTTGTAGTTTTTAGATTGCAAGAAATGGAGGATGAAGAGCTGTTCGTTGTACGGTTAATAAAAGGAGAGAGACTAATTTTTTTTAAATGGCTACTAAATGCAATGTATAGCTTTATTAAATGGCTACTAAATGCAATGTATAGCTTTATTGCATAAGACAGTTATAAAAAGCAGGTACAATTATCCTTGTTTTATAGATGAAGAAATTAAGGCTTAAAGAGGTTAAGTAATTTCTCCATTACAAAGATAGTAGATTGTAGAGCAGATGTTGGAAACTGTGTATCTGCGTGTTTCTAAAATCTGTAATATTCCACCGTACCACTTCTTGGGGGGAAAAACGCATTTAAGGAAAACTTAGCTAAAAATGTAACATTTACATTTTCTAGTAGGGAAAACCTAAAATGAAAAAAGACACAGGAATCACTAGTGGTGGATTTTCTTGAGAAATTACTTTGGTTACCATAACTAGAGTAGGTATTTTGTGTTCTTTTCGTATATTTATTATTTGAAGAGCCAAAACGTCCTTCTACTACCCCCTTCCCTTCCACCCCTGCATTGTAATCAGATGTAATGGAGCCCCTGTTTATGGCTGCAGGGTGAATGTCTTTATTGTTGCTGTTTTAAAAGTGAAAGTTCTACATATTTATATTTGTACAGTGTATTAGTCACTTGCATCAACACTTTGAGACATTTAGCTAATGTCTTATTTGAAATCTGGCATTTTTATCTACTAATTTCAAGTCTTACATAGAAACCTATACAGTATGCACAAATATGGCTTCATTGTTTTATCCAAAGTGGTAAGAAGACTGTTACATTGACTTTTTTAAGGCCTTGTTTTTAAAAATTTTTTGTTAACTTAGCACAGCAGAACAGTTTCAGATAGTTTATTCATTATGCTGTTTATATCCACAGAAAATACATGAGAACCTCGAAAATTTGAGACAGGTCTCAGTTAATTTAGAAAGGTTATTTTGCCAAGGTTGAGGACACGCCCTTGATACAGCCTCAGGAAGTTGTGACGACGTGTGCCCAGGGTGGTCAGGGCACAGCTTGGTTTTGTCCATTTAGGGAGACGTGAAACATCAATCAATGTATGTAAGAAGTACATTGGTTCGGTCTGGAAAGGCGGGACAACGTGAAGCGAAGACTGGAAGTGGGGAGGGAGCTTTCAGGTCACAGATTGGTGAGACACAAATGGTTGCGTTTGCGTTCTTTTGAGTTTCTGATTAGCTTTTCCAAAGGAGGCAAATCAGATATGCATCTATCTCAGTGAGCAGAGAAGTCACTTTGAATAGAATGAGAGGCAGGTTTGCCCTAAGCAGTTTCCAACCTGAGTTTTCCTTAGTGATCTTGGGTACCCAAGATACTTTCCTTTCAGGTACATTTCCTGTGTTATTTCTTTGATTGATTGCCAAAAAAGCCTTGTTCCTCTCTTGGATGTTTGGACAAAGCTTTTGGTTGTATGCTGGAGTATGCTCTTCTCTCCTGCTCCTCCCTTCTTCTAATGAGCTTGTGGTGCTCTGGACAATTAGGAGTGTGGGTTACTTTGTGCTGTTTCTCTAACTTTTTCACCTAGGCTTCCCAAGGACAGAGGAGATTTAGTGCAAATCCCTGAGAGTACTGGAGAAAATGTTCATTATGTAAAAAGTAAAGTAGAGGTTTGTCTTCAAAGACTTTCCTCCCCATCTAATTAAGACTAAATAGTAACTTCTCTTAGAAGCAAAATTTATTCAAAGACCTATGCTAACATTCTTAAATATCTGCTAGCTGTAATAAAGAAATCATTGTACTTTATGTTCTTAGCTCTTACAGTTGAGCCTAAATATTTGCCCTGGCGTGCTTATACTGGTCCAAGCAAGCATTAAGTCATAGCCTGTTCCTCTTCCTTATTTAAAAGTGTTTTTACCTTTCTCAGCATTCCACAAGTTACTTCAAGTTCTAAGTTGCTAGTCAATCAAGACAGATACAGAATGTGAAGTCCAAAGTAGACACGTCAAGTTATAAATGACCCTGTCTCCTTTGTTCAGTGTAGCAAAACTGCTGGCGACTGTCCCCTTTCTATAGAAAGTAAAAAAATGGCCTTGCTGAAGACATAAAATTTACGTTCAAGTGCTGCTTCTCTACAGCACCAAAGAACAAGCATTTCTGACGATTATATATTAAAATGCACATAGTTCTGTAACATAACCATGATTATTTTAACATTACGGGTTTTAAATATTTAACCAATAATAATTTGCAACCCCTTCCTTCTTGCTCTTCAATTTGGCAAGTAAAGTTGATGCTTTTGGAAACTGCATCATGTTTACCTAGTAGTTGCCTTTGCCTTGGTGTGAAATTATCTCTGTGCTTGAATCATGAAAGAATTGGGTATGGAATCCTCATCAAATTATTATAACTACCGTTTAAACAAGTATATACTTCTGGCTTTTGTTCATTATTCACTTAATGAGTCATAATATATTTTCTCTCTGTTTTTTAGTGGCAGAATGAGAAATTTAGAAAAGAACATGTTTACAAAAGAAGCTTTGGCTTTGGCTTGGCGATATTTTTTACCTCCATACACCTTCCAGATCAGAGTTGGTGCTTTGTATCTGCTATATGGATTATATAACACCCAACTGTGTCAACCAAAACAAAAGGTAATACTTAGTGAGTTATTTTTCCTTTGCAGAAATGTAAAACAAGCACCATATTTTTATAATAAATATTATGTGATTAAATATGATTTAAATAAAACACCAGTATTTTAAAATTATAATATGTTTGTGAAAATATGTTTACATTTAGTACAACGTTTTTTTTTTCTTCCTGGTTGCAGATCAGAGTTGCCCTGAAGGATTGGGATGAAGTTTTAAAATTTCAGCAAGATTTAGTAAATGCACAGCATTTTGATGCTGCTTATATTTTTAGGAAGCTACGACTAGACAGAGCATTTCACTTTACAGCAATGCCCAAATTGGTATGTTGCCTAAAATAATTTGGTTTTTTCAAAATGAGCAGTTATACTTTATTGTCCATAAAACCTCTCAATCTCCAGAAAATGGAATGAGTATTGATAGTGTTCAAGACTTTTAGCCTTTTTTTTTTTTTTTTTTTTTTTTGAGACAGGGTCTCACTCCGTCGCCCAGGCTGGAGTGCGGTGGCACCATTTCGGGTTACTGCAACCTCTGCCTCCTGGGTTCAAGCGATTCTCCTGCTTCAGCCTCCCGAATAGCTGGGACTACAGACACGCACCACCAAGCCCAGCTAATTTTTGTATTTTTAGTAGATACGGGGTTTCACCATGTTGGCCACGATGGTCTCGATCTCTTGACCTCGTGATCCACTCACCTCGGCCTCCCAAAGTGTTGGGAGCGTCCGGCCTGGCTTGTAACTTTTTTTTTATGTGTGTGCCTTTTTGATACAGAGTCTTGCCCTGTCGTCCAGGCTGGAGTGCAGTGGCGCGATCTCGGCTCACTGCAACCTCCGTCTCAGGGGTTCAAGCAGTTCTCCTGTTTCAGTCTCCTGAGTAGCTGGGACTACAGGCGCCCGCCACCATGCCTGGTTGATTTTTGTATTTTTCGTTGAGATGGGGTTTCACCACGTTGGTCAGGCTGGTCTTGAACTCCTCACCTCAGGTGATCACCCGCCTCAGCCTCCCAGAGTGCTGCGATTATAGGCATGAGCCACCGTGCCCAGCATTGTAGCTTTTTTAAAATAGGAGATGGTATTTTCTAATTACTACTTTTTTTTCTGCAAACAAAAATGGAGACTTTGCTTTTGAATGCAGTATATCTGGATGCCACATATTAAGCGAATTGTTTTGAGAAGAAATTAGATTTGACATCTGCATTTGCTCATGTCTCAAACATCAGAGGAGGTTTCTGAAAGACGTACAAAATTGTTAAAAATTCTTTGGTGAAAAGTTGAAACTTCTAATAACACTTGTTTTTGTTTAATCTTGTGATAATTGAGACACTAGGTTGAAGAGCACTAGTTCTGATTCTGCCATTAGCTGGCAAATTATGTAATTTCTGTCTTACCTGAATTTGTAGGCATGTGGCGTGGCATGTGAAAGGATACTTCACAAGTCTAATAGTCTTTAGAACGTGGATGTTTAACAAATGTACCCTTACAGCTGCTTTTGTTTTATCTGTGTTTGTTTAATAGACTATTTTTAGTGCTGGCTTATATTTCAATACTTTTAAAAATACTGTTTAAAAGATACTCATTTTAAAAGACATGTATTATCACATAGCTGTCATATAGGATGAAGAAAAAAATTCACCGAGCTGAAGTTACAGAAGAATTTAAGGACCCAAGTGATCGTGTGATGAAGCTTATCACTTCTGATGTATTAGAGGTAAATTTTCTTTTATGCTCTTGAAATTTTTTTAAAACTGTTTTATTGCCAAGTACATATCAAGGTTATACCTTCATCTACTGGACACTGATTTTTCTAATGATTTTCACCACTCTAGGATGCTGTTTCTCTAGAGTATCAGAAATAAAATAGCCTAAATATATCAAGACTTACAAATCTTAAAATAGCATGAGAAAAAAAGATGTAGAAGACTGGACTTGGACCGAGGATATGTGGATTCCGTTACTAAAACTACCGTTAGTTAGGTCATAAAACAAGAGTTTAAAGTGACTTTACTTACTTTTCTAAAAAACGATACGCATGGCCAGGCGTGGTGGCTCACACCTGTAATCTCAGCACTTTGGGAGGCTGAGGTGGGTGGATCATGAGGTCAGGAGTTTGAGACCAGCCTGGCCAACGTGGTGAAATCCCGTCTCTACTAAAAACACAAAAATTAGCCGGGTGTGGTGGCACACGCCTGTAGTCCCAGCTGCTGGGGAGGCTGAGGCAGGAGACTTGCTTGAACTCAGGACGTGGAGGTTGCAGTGAGCTGAGATAGCACTGCTGTACTCCCGTCTGGGCAACAGAGCAAGACTCCGTTTTAAAAAACAAAAAAAAATATGCATTTATTTCCTGAGTTTTTTTTTTTTTTTTTTTTTTAAGTGGAGTCTCACTCTGTCACCCAGGCTGGAGCACAATGGTGTGCACCACCACGCCCGGCTAATTTTTTGTATTTTTGGTAGAATCAGGGTTTCACTGTGTTAGCCAGGATGGTCTCGAACTCCTGACCTAGTGATCTGCCCACCTTGGTCTCCCAAAGTGCTGGGATTACAGGCATGAGTACCTGGCCTACTTCCTGAGTTTTTTTTTTTTTTTTTTTTGAGACGGAATATCGCTCTGTCGCCCGGGCTGGAGTGCAGTGGCCAGATCTCAGCTCACTGCAAGCTCTGCTTCCCGGGTTTACGCCATTCTCCTGCCTCAGCCTTCTGAGTAGCTGGGACTACAGGCGCCCGCCACCTTGCCCGGCTAGTTTTTTTTTTTTTTTTTTTTTTTTTTTTTTTAGTAGAGACGGGGTTTCACCATGTTAGCCAGGATGGTCTCGATCTTCTGACCTCGTGATCCGCCCGTCTCGGCCTCCCAAAGTGCTGGGATTACAGGCTTGAGCCACCGCGCCCGGCCTACTTCCTGAGTTTTAACATTTATTTTAAAACCCACTATTGAAAACAGTGAATCTATTTTGATAATATATTTTGGTATTTTGTTTGAGTGTACAATATTGAGAAAAATCTTATGCATGGATAAGTAGTGTTACAAATCTTTTTAAGCATGAGTAGAAAAGCATTGCTTTGAGGTTAAAACAAAATCTCAGTACAGGGTTACAGGCTTCTAAATCAATGATATTTCAAAAGAACATATAGAGGAGATGAGGGGGTAAGGGGACACTTTGGTCATGCTTTTAAATTTTCTTTAAGCCTAAATATCTCCCTCATTAATATTAGGATTATAATATTTTATTTCATTCGGTCGTTGTGAGAATTGAAATGAGGTGATACCAAACTAGTGCTGAGTGTGGTATATTACACACAGTATACCCTTAATAAATGTTAATTCCCCTTTTCCCCAGCCCTACTCAGTCTTTTCTTGTATTACAATTGAAAGAGAGGGATCAGATCTTCGATTTACTCAAATGTTTGTTTAGATGCCCCCATGTTCTTTTTTTTTTCCCCCTTATGTAGGGTCTTCCTCTGTCGCCCAGGCTGGAATGTAGTGACACAATCTTGGCTCACAGCAACCTCTGCCTCCCAGTTTCAAGTGATTCTCGTGTCTCAGCCCCCCTGAGTAGCTGGGGTTACAGGCATGCACCACCATGCCCAATTAATTTTTTCTATTTTTAGTAGAAGTGAGGTTTCACTGTGTTGACCAGGCTGGTCTTGAACTCCTGGGCTCAAGCGATCTGCCCGCATTGGCCTCCTAAAGTGCTGAATTTACAAGTGTGAGCCACTGTGCCCGGTTGTCCCCATGTTGCAATAGCATGAGCCTGTCAGGTTGTTTGTAATTCAGGTAGCAAATTGATTTTTGAGAGCACTCTGGGTCTGTTCTGTAAAGTGACTTTATTTTTGAGCAAGGATTCTTAATCTCTGGCCTGGGGATCATCCATGTGCCCTCTCCCCCACCACATTGTATGAAAAATTGATGTCATATATATGGATCCTTTTTTTTTTCTTTCTTTCTGAGATAGAGTCTCACTCTGTAGCCCAAGTTGGAGTGCAGTGGCGCAATTTTGTCTCATTGCAACCTGCAACCTCTGCCTCCAGGGCTCAAGCGATTCTCATGCCTCAGCCTCCCGAGTAGCTGGGACTACGGGTACATGCCACCACACTTGGCTAATTTTTTGTATTTTAGTAGAGATGGGGTTTCACCATGTTGCCCAGGGTGGTCTCGAACTCCTGAGCTCAGGCGATCTGCCCGCCTTGCCCTCCCGAAGTACTGCGATAACAGACATGAGTCACCCTGCCCAGCCCATAAGGATGCATTTTTAGGGTGAGGTACTGTAACTATCCTCAGATTCTCAAAGGTGTTCATGTCCCCCAAAAAGGTTAAGGATTACTGTATTACAAGGAACTGAATATTCCTCAATATCTGAAGACATAGTATAATGCAGGAACTCTGGGAAGATGTTTTGTGTAGATTGTTTTACTTCAACATTTCTGCAAAATAAGTGTTTAAAAGAATTTTTAAAAGCAGGGGGTTTTATCTGTGATTTAAAGTTGAGGAAACTGAGTTACAGAGACTAGGTTAGGAAGTGATGGAGCTAAGCTTCAAACTCAGTTCTGTATGGCTGCAGTGCCTGTTTGTGGATAGCAAAGGACTGGTCTGAGGTGGGACTGGGGTTGGAAATTTGTCATTCGACAAGCAAATGAGTGAAGTGTAACAAGAACTAGGATTTTTTTTTCCCTTTAGCAGCTTAGCGAGAAAGAGGTGGGAGAGAGTTTATGTACAAAACTAAATAAGATAAAAGTACTTTGTATAATAGAAGGAATTTGTATTTTGTCTTTTTGGCAGAGGGGAGTCGTAAAGTTTTAGAGATTGGAGAGAAATAATGTTTATGTTTAGAGTTGAAGTAAGGAGCTAGTTAGAGGGAATGGTTGTATACAGGAGAGGTAGCAGCAGGGTTCCTGCTATGGAGGAGATGGGTGTGTCTGTGATTGAGAATCCAGTGGAGAGAGTAGCCTTGAGCAGAAGGCGTACTTCTTCCTTTGAAACTTGAGGAAAGAAGGTGAGAATGGATTTTTATAAATCTTTGTGTAGGGGAGAAATAGAAGGCAAACAGACCTGACTGCCTGAACTGTAAGAGAGCATCATCGGGGTCAGGGAACTGAGAGTTGAAAATGTTTGGACTAGCAATTATGGAGAATGGAAGAAAGATTTCAGGATGCCAGAAAGCTGAGAAATGCTGATGTGAATCATGAAGAGAGAGGCACAGGGCATTTTCAAACAGCAAGACATTCTTATCAATATTCTAATGAAAAAGATGATTTGAACCCAGTTGGTTATAATTTCTTTTTTAAAATTTTTGAGACAGGATCTTGCTTTATCACCCCGGCTGGAGTGCAGTGGTGCGATTGTAGCTCACTACACCCTGTATCTTCTGGGCTTAAGTGATCCTCCCACCTCAGCCTCCTGAGTAGCTGGGACTACAGGCACTCACCATCATGCTGGCTAATTAAATTAAATTTAATTAATTAATTAATTAATTTTTTTGAGACAGACTCTTGCTCTATGGCCCAGGCTAGAGTGCAGTGGTATGATCTTGGCTCACTGCAACTGCCACCCAGGTTCAAGCGATTCTCCTGTGTCAGCCTCCCGAATACCTGGGATTACAGGCGCGTGCCACCACGCCGGGCTAATCTTTGTATTTTTAGTAGAGGCAGGGTTTCATTATCTTGGCCAGGCTGGTCTTGAACTCCTCACCTCTTGATCCACCCACCTTGGCCTCCCAAAGTGCTGGTGTTATAGACGTGAATCACCGCACCTGGCCCATGCTGGCTAATCTTAAAAATTTTTCTTGTAGAGACAAGGTCTTGCTATGTTGCCCAGGCTGGTCTTGAACTCCTGAGCTTGATTGCTCTTCCTACCTTGGCCTCCCCACAGTGTTGGGATTATAGGCATGAGCCACCATGCTTGGCTGGTTATAATTTTTCTGACTATTGACCAGTTTGGTGGTAGAATGTAAATATTTTTTCAACATATCTTTTTCAACGTGCTTTTTCATTCTAAGCTCTTTAAAGTTGGGGGTGATGCACAAAGGTCTACTCTTTTAGAGTGAATAGAGAAGAGTGTCAGAAGGGTCAGGCTATGAAATACCTATACCTGGAAGCTTTTAGGGATGGAATAGTCTGTGAAGTTATCCTGGCTCTGTTGGATCTCTGGCTTGTGACATAATTGCTTTGAGAGCCTTGTCCCTTGATACTTCTGCTGGCTCTGTATCTTTTGTCCTAGCATAGCCTGTGATCCATTCTCACTGATAATGCTTAAATTTAATACTCTTAAATTTTCCTTTTACTGCCTGCAACTGCTGTTAAGTCTTCATTTCAGAAGATCCAAATTCTGGTCATGATTCTACCACTTGTTCTAGTTTTGTGGTTAAGGAGGCATAATAAAATGAAAAGAGAACAGGATACTGAATCAAAACATTTGACTTCTAGCCCTCTGCTATGTAAGTAGGACCTTGAGCAAATTATTTCATTTCTGTTCTTCATTTATATAGTTATAATAGTGGACATTGTGTGCTGAGTACTCACCAAATGCCTGGAACTATGCTAGATGTTCTACGTGTGTTATCTTACTAACTGTGATAGTAACCCTGCAGAGGAGGTGGTATTTCCCCAGTTTTTTTTTGTTTTTGTTTTTTTTTTTGAGATGGAATCTCGCTCTGTCGCCCAGGCTGGAACGCGATCTCGGCTCACTGCAAGCTCTGCCTCCCGGTTCAAGCCATTCTCCTGCCTTAGCCTCCTGAGTAGCTGGGACTACAGGTGCCTACCACCATGCCCGGCTAATTTTTTGTATTTTTTTTTTTAGTAGAGACGGAGTTTCACTGTGTTAGCCAGGATGGTCTTGATCTCCTGGCCTGGTGATCTGGCCGCCTCGGCCTCCTGAAGTGCTGGTATTACAGGCATGAGCCACTGCACCTGGCCTTTTTTTTTTTTTTTTTCTTAAAGCAGAGTTTCCCTCTTATTGCCTAGGTTGGAGTGCAGTGGCATGATCTTAGCTCACTGCAACCTCCACCTCCCCACCTTCCAGGTTCAAATGATTCTCCTGCTTCAGCCTCCCGAGTAGCTTGGACTACAGGCACCCGCCACCATGCCCAGCTAATTTTTTGTATTTTTAGTAGAGATGGGGTTTCACCATGTTGGCCAGGCTGGTCTCGAACTCCTGACCTCAGGTGATCTGCCTACCTCAGCCTCCCAAAGTGCTGGGATTACAGGCATGAGCCTCTGCACCTGGCCCCCAGTTTTAAAATAAGGAAACTGAGGTTTAGAGAAGTTAAGTAGTTTGTATCAGGTGAGGCACAATAAGGTACAGACACTGGGTTTGAATGTCCAAGTCTGTAAGGCTCCATAGCCCATGCACTGTCTTTTATTTCTTATTTAATTTTCTTCTTTTTTGTTTTTTTCAAGAGTGGGGGTCTTGCTATGTTGCCTGAGTTGGCCTTGAATTCCTGGGCTCAGGCCGTCCTCATGCCTCAGCCTTCTGAGTAGCTGGGACTACGGGTGCACACTACCATGCCTGGCTTCTTTAATTTTGTATAGTGCTTTACATTATACAGAATACTTTCACCTGTATAATAAGCTTGTTTAATAATTAACAATGGTGGGTTTGTTCATTTTGTACAAATGTGAAACGTGAACGTGATTCTTAGGTTGAGGGACTTCCCCATTGTCATACATTGAGCAAATGACAGAGCTCAGACTCAAAAACTAGATCTGACTGGTGGTCTTTCTATATCACATGAAATAAAAATCATGAGAGCACAGCCAATGTAAACTGTAAAGAGTTAGGGGCTCTCCATGTCTGGACACTGTTCTCCCATTGCAGATCCCGTGTATGTGAGCACTTACCACTATTGATCAGTTTCTCATTTCTTTTTTTTTTTTTTTAAGAGACGAGTTTCACTTTTGTTGCCCAGGCTGGAGTGCAATGGCACGATCTTGGCTCACCGCAACCTCTGCCTCCCGGGTTCAAGCGATTCTCCTGCCTCAGCCTCCTGAGTAGCTGGGATTACAGGCATGTGCCACCACACCCGGCTAACTTTGTATTTTTAGTAGAGATGGAGTTTCTCCTTGTTGGTCTGGCTGGTCTCAAACTCCTTACCTCAGGTGATCCGCCCTCCTCAGCCTCCTAAAGTGCTGGGATTACAGGCATGAGCCACTGTGCCTGGCCTAGTGTCTTATTTCTTGAACAGGTATTGATTCTACCAAAATCTGGAAATGAATTGAGTAGTCTGAGTTAGGGATGACTCAGATGTTGCAATATCCATCTGTGATGGAAATGTCAGTAGTTCTCTCCTGATCTTAGAGCCAAGTCCCTATGCCAGGTTTTCTTAAGTCCACCTGTAGTATGCTGTCTTTTTCCTTACCCCACAGATCTGCCCATTTGGCTGGAGATTTTTGGAGGAAGAAGATCTAATAAATAATGCCACAAATGGTGTCATAAATCACCCTCTATTTCTTTCTTTTTTGTTTTGAGATGGAGTCTTGCTCTCTTGCCCCCACTGGAGTGCAGTGGCAGTGCGATCTTGGCTCACTGCAACCTCTGCCTCCCAGGTTCAAGCAGTTCTGCCTCAGCCTCCCAGGTAGCTGGGATTACAGGCGCCCACCCCCACACCCGGCTAATTTTTGTGTTTTTAGTAGAGATGGGATTTCACCATGTTGGCCAGTCTGGTCTTGAACTCCTGACCTTGTGATCCTCCTGCCTTGGCCTCCCAAAGTGCTGGGATTATAGGCGTGTGCCACCGCACCCGGCCTACCCTCTATTTCTTTTAATCCTGAATCTTATCGCTGAAGTAATGGTGAAACTTATGAGAACAGGCACATAGGTTTTGGGATTTCTGTGGCAGGTTGGGATAAGAGTCGTTACATAGGAATTTCCAGCAGAGCATAAAGGACTATGTAAATATTCTTTTCTTTTTTTTGAGATGGAGTCTTGCTCTGTCACCCAGGCTGGAGTGTGGTGGCATGATCTCGGCTCACTGCAAGCGCCTCCTCCTGGGTTCACCCCATTCTCCTGCCTCAGCATCCCGAGTCACTGGGACTACAGGCGCCCACCACCACGCCCGGCCAATTTTTTGTATTTTTAGTAAAGATGGGGTTTGACCATGTTAGCCCTGATGGTCTCAATCTCCTGACCTCGTGATCCGCCCGCCTCGGGCTCCCAAAGTTCTGGGACTACAGGCGTGAGCCACCGCACCTGGCCATAAATAGTCTTGATGTGACAATATGATATAAAAATATCTTAGTTATCAGTAGCAATATTTAATGATACATCATGCTACAAATAATTGCGATATTCTAGAATGGAATTGTATGTTAACTGATTTGTCTTTCCCCAGTGTCTTCTGTAAGTGTATCTTAGTTAATGTTTGTTGAGGTAAGTCAGTAAATCCATACCTCTGGAATCCATACCTCTATGTTAATGAAGTTGCACTATTTTGTTTACATGATTATGTTATTTTCAACATACTGTAGCATGTTATTCCCTATCAACTGGAAGTCACCTTGGAAGGTGACTATTTTGTGTTGGTTTTGCCTTTTAGTTTCTCCTCAAAAAGTGAAATAAAGGACTCATCTTTTTGCTTTTAGGAAATGCTGAATGTTCATGATCATTATCAGAACATGAAACGTGTAATTTCGGTTGATAAGTCCAAGCCAGATAAAGCCCTCAGTTTGATAAAGGATGACTTTTTTGACAATATTAAGAACATAGTTTTGGAGCATCAGCAGTGGCACAAAGACAGAAAGGTATGCAATCACTTGTTTGGTGCTTCACCATTTTATTATACACGAATGATTATCCATGGATGATAATGTTGAGAGGCAGCCTGGTGTTAGAGGCTGTAATCCTGTGGAGCTAAGATTTAGAGGGCTTGGCTTTTCTAGTTCCACTTTTGCCACTTACTAGGTATGTGATGTTATTTAACCTTACAGATGGAGTATATATGTATTTTCCTTTTTTTGGTAGAAGAGTAAATAATCTTGTTATACCACAGATTTATTACAGTCTTTATAATTTGGCATTTTTCTAGGGGTTGCACACTCGGTCTTTGGGCTAAATCCTGCACACAGATGTATTTTGTTTGGCATAGTGTTGATTTTAACATTGTTTAAAATTTTTGAGTTAATTACCAACTTTTAAGTACTTGTGGACCTCACCTAAAATTCTAGACTGGTAATACTGATTCCACTTTGCTGCATGACAGCAGACAGTGGGACCTGAGTGGTGGCTTTTCCTACTGCGATAGGGCAGGTGTTTCTCTGTTTACATATTGTCTACCTGGTGTGGTTTATCTTTTTGCAGGTCTCATCATCACAGATCTTCAACTTAGTTTATTTAACCAAAAGTATTGATGGTTTCACATTAGCCTTTTCAGCTAGAGGAACTTTTTTACCCTGGAAACCTAAAGGCTAGCCTTGTGAAATTTACTTTTGAAACTATTACTCCATCTTATTTTAGTAAATCTAGGAAAACAATTTTTAAAAAGTAAGCAATTTCTGATTACTTACTGTGTGTCTTGATAATGTGCTGGTGTTTTCACAGATGTCACACAGATACTGTTATCTATATATCGTCTTTCAGGAAGATTTCTTGCTACTTTTTCACTTTCTGTTATATAAAGGAAGCTGGCTCACAGCTTAATTTTAGAAAAGATAAACCACGAAACTGATAAGAAGATGATAGTCTTGGGAAGAAGAAAATAACTTTATTCCTCTGCATTTATTTTAATGAGAGATAGCAAGTTTTACAATGTTTGGATACTTTAAGTCCTACAAATAGGTTACACAAATGACTTAGGCATTTAATGTAAAAAAATTGTTAGTATTCTTTATATATACGTATCTAGACAGGGTCTTCTTGCTCTGTCACCCTGGCTGGAATGCAGTGGCAAGACTACAGCTCACTACAGCCTCGACCTCCCAGGCTTAAGTGATCCACCCACTCAGCCTTCTGAGTAGCTGGGTTTGCAGACATATGCCACCATGCCCAGCTAATTTTTTTTTAGTTTTTGTAGAGACAGCGTCTTGCTATGTTGCCAGGGATAGAACCAGCAAAATTTTAAATTTTTTTGTAGAGATGGGGTCTTGCTATGTTGCCCAGGGTGGTTTGGAACTCCTGGCCTTAAGCGATCCTCCCACCTCAGCCTCCCAGAGTATTAGGATTACAGGATTAGCCACCATGCATAGCCAGTGTTCTCTTTTAATAGATAAACTCTCTTCAAAGAGCATTACTACGAGCTCTGAAAATCTGAAGGAAAGGAGAATAAGCCTATTTTCTTACTACCACATAGAGACTACCATATTAATTAGGAGGATTTAAGCATTTTATTGATGAATTGTAGAACATTTTGAAACCTGTGATCTTAATGTTAGGTGGTATATAATGTGAATGATCTTTTAGTTTTTCATTTATTAAAAGTAATGATTTCTCACTGTTCTAAGATTGATTTGCAGTTAATTGAATTGTAAATTTGTGTGTGTGTGTGTATGTATCTTTTTTGCTCTTTTAGAATCCATCCTTAAAATCAAAAAGTAATGATGGAGAAGAAAAAATGGAAGGAAATTCACAAGAAACAGAGGTCAGAAAACTTTGCAATTCATATTATGTGTGGCTGTGATTCTGTATACTAAGCATTGTGACCCATGGTCAGTATTATAAGAAATATAAGAGAAAATTCTGAATCATGGTTTTATGAAAAGGTAGTTTGTTATTTACTGGAAGCCTTGTGGAGGCCACATCAGGTGTAGGTTGGGAGAGAGGATGATAATAGTTTTCCGTAGGGAAAGGAAAGCTCGACTATGGAAGGTGCCCTCAGTTAACAGAGGATCAGAATCAGGCTTTTGTAATATATCTTTTCTGACTTGTCAGCCTTTCAACCAGTGTGGAGCCCAAGCCATTACACGGTATACTGCTTCCTGCCTCCAGAATTTTCATCCATCTTAGTGGATGAGACAAGGAGCCATCTTTGAGTATAGGCAGATGAGGAGGGAATGGCAGTTCAAGGCTCTGCCTGATCACCCGGGCTTTCATTCATATTGTCCTCCTTGAATCCTGAATGAAAATGATCTGTAACTACGGGGATAGTATTATGGCACCTGCTACATCTGTGAGAGAATATGATGTATGTTTATGTGTGTGTACCCAATATATGTTAGTTTCTTTTACCCTACCTTCTGTCTAAAATCTTATTTCTGATAATAAATACTTGGGTATTCAGTTTTTTCACCTATTGTTTGTGTGTTTTAACTTTTTTTTCCTTCTTATTTTACATCCAGAGATGTGAAAGGGCAGAATCACTAGCGAAAATAAAATCAAAGGCCTTTTCAGTTGTCATTCAGGTGAGTTATTCTTTAATAAGGTAATTTGGAAATTGACTGCTTTTTAAATTGTATTTCAATTTTTCATCAAAGTAGTGATACATGTACTTAGTTTTAAAAGTCAAATGCTAGAGAGGTTATATAGCACAACAGACCCCTTCTCTGCCACTTCCTACCCTTGTATTCCTAACCTTGAGAGGCAACATCTTCAACTTCTTTTCTTTTAGCAGTTTCTTCTAATATTTACCTGGAATTTTGATGCCATTTCCTTTATTATCTTCCAGCTTCTAGTATTCCTGATTTTGGAAGGTTTTAGGGTTTTACTTTGTCCCTGGAGTTCTAAAATTTCATTTAGTACATATAATGTAACTTGGTGTACATCTTTTTTGTTTATTGCCCATGGCACTCATGGTGACCTCCTTTTAATCTGATATCCTTCAGTTCTGAAGAAGTTTCTGTATTGTTTCTTCGATACAAATGTTCTTTGCTGCATCTTTTCTCTTCTTCAACTTTTCTTATTTTTCTCTTCAATTTTTAGTTTCTGTCTCATTTTCTATTTTCAGGGAGATTTCTTAGGCTTTATCTTCTGAACCATTATATTGATTTTAAAAAAATTTCCCCTGATATTTTTTCATTACCAATAATTTTTTTTGTTCTCTGAATGCTTCTTGTTTTGTTTTTTTTAAATGTATTTTTCTTTTTCACAGGATGCAATAACTTTTTCTCTTAAGGATTTAACTACAGTTTTTTTGATGGTTCCTCCCATTTCCTGTGAGTTCTTTTTTTTCTATTTGTTTGAACTCTTTCACTTTGTTGACTTTTTTTTTTTTTTTTT